TCAGGATCTCTACCGTTGATCTTCAACGACAACAAGTCCGCGCTTGCGTTGAGTCAGACAACCGTAGCCACGAAAAGATCCAAGCACATGAGTCTTCGACTACACCTAGTACGAGACTACGTAAAAGACTTGTGCTATGTAAGCACGGACATCAATCTAGCGGATGGATTGACCAAACCACTTCCAGGAGAGAAGTATATCCAAATCTTCAAAGCTCCCGCACGAAAAGCTAATGAAGTATTTGCGAAAGCCCACTTTGTTGACTTCAATAATCTCTAGGATTGATTGATGCGAATTTCACACAAAGTCATCTCATCTGATTCATTTCGATGATTTAATGTTCATTCGGAAGGGGGAATGTTAGGCAAGATATGAAATCCACCAGGATCATAAGCCAAGCAAATTCCCTACGACCTAAATTGAATGTTCATTGAAGTCAGGCTCTAAATTTGTCGTTCAAATTTTGATCCAATGTGAAATCAGCATGTTCATACAAATGAACCAAAAATGAAGTTCATTCTAAACCCACACTGTAAGCTAGTGATGATCAACGATGGTTGATCGGATTTCTCATAAATTTAGGGTGATTAGAACAAATTTGAACTTTCATGTTTACCCCCTGACTGAGACGTCAAAATTTGTGTGTTGTCTGGAACGCTAAATTTTTCCCCACAGGCTGTGACGATAGTCACCATAGATTGATTGCGACTAAGAAACACTGAATCCCACCTAGATTCTGCTTGACATCCAAGATGGCCAGTGTTCACACCGCCCGCGTTTCTTCGTCGTTGATTGTCTTCACACCGTGAAAATTCGGTTGACAAGAACCTAAATTTTGCAAAGTCTACGAATGCGCCGACAGACTGAAGTGTTCTTTCAGACTCTCTATTTTTTTGCATTCTGTAAAAATCGCAAACTGAAAGTTGCTCACCCATGATCAATAAAGGTGCAGCAGCACAGATTCCTACGTGCACTTACTCGGAAACCATCGCTGTTCTGGTATACTGTAGAAGCTTTCTGCAAGAGGAGATGACTTTCACTTATGCAATTGGACCTTTCAGATTCCTTTGCACAGGAAGCACACGAGCTCAGCAAAAGCAGCTCCAGTGCAGCTAACCCCTGCGTCGACAGATTCAAAATAAAATGGGTCTGTGCGTTTGATGCCTGTTGGCAATGCCAATATGATGCTTGTGGACAATCAACACCAGAGGGGATCTGCTTAAGAAAAAGTATCCAACGGCGGACGACGCCGTTTTCATTTTCTTTCTTGGACTGAAATTTCCAAAGTCGAATTTAGAAAATTACATAGATAGGAGAATTGATGAACCATCAATCCATCGAGATCGACCATTCTATTTCTATGTTGAGTTGTATGTCCATTTTCTATCGGAAATCAGTCCAGATCCGTAAGAGAGTTGTGAATCCATCGAGATCTATCGACCTTCTTGTTTTTTTTTTGTGTTTAGGACCCATCTTCTATCGGAAAAACAAAATCAGGGGACGCAATACTGGAACATGAAACGACGCTTCTCCATTTTTGCAGAGTCATCCCCTGCGTCAGTGCCTTTGATGTTCCATCGTTTTCGAATAAAGAGACCGAAGTATGAAGTTGTAATATCACTCCAATTTGGTCATCTTGTTGTCGAAGAAATGCATTCAGGATGTTGCTCATCAACATCAAGCCTCTTGAACGAATCTTGTTTGTGGTGAATGTGGGATCAGGTACAATCAAAATATGATCTCTGTATGGGATCACAACTTTGGTGAATCCTTCCGCTTTATCAAATAGGCCGTATTCAGTATATAATCGTAGCTGCTGACTCTGCAACCCTTCAGCCGCCATTCGCAGAGGAATTTTTGGGCAAAGTCGCGGTCTTTCTCGTCGTGCCGGACGAGTTTGGCCCAGCGGACGCTCCGGAAGACGTCAAGGCACCTCCGGCGCTCGTTCCACCTGTAGTGCCTTTCTTCTTCACTCGTAGAACCTTCTTCATGCCAAAGGGGTTGAAAATGCTGTCGCTCCCGATTTTTGTCACATCGCCCCCACTCCTCAGGCTCTTCACCTGCGTAATCTGTGGCTGTCTCGTGCTATCAGTGGTCGTGGCCGATGTGGTGGAAGTGGAACACGGACTAGAAATGCCAATTATGCAGTTTGCTCCCCTCCCTCCACTCCCCGCCATCGCTGCTTCTTTTTTCTTCTCCTCTTTCCATTTATCTAGCGTGTAGCGGGACGGAAAAAGTTGCGCTTGCTCATTTCCATCCATGCGCACGTCGTTTTTAATATAGCGTGAACTTTTCATATTGCCAGCGTCTCTCTCCTTCGCTCGAACGCCGTAAAGTTTGAAGGCGTTCTCGCTCGTGACCCGGATCACTTCCTCCACTTTGACCTCTTTCAGCCAGCTGATGTAATTTGCGATCTCCAGCACGTCCGCGGGCGAGCCGGTTTTCGTGGCGAAATTCGGCGCGTCGGTCTCCAACAGAATCCGGTCGAGGGGGATCGCTTTTACCATGTCGTACAGGTTCAGCTTTATATTAGAAGTAGTCGTGCTAGTGGTTCCACCGGTCATATCAACATTATCTTGCCGCCCCTCCTCCAACTGATTCGGCAAGTCCCAGTCGTCCGCGTAGGGAAAGCAGACCGCGCCGCAAATGCCGAAGTAGCAATTCGAAAACCGGGCCAAACAGCGGAGAATCGCAGGGATCGAAGCAATCACCGCGTGCCAGTGAAACGGGTAGTCAGGGTCTAAGTTCCTCTCGATGAATTCCAGAAAATCTCTTTCGCAATCGCGGCTGTGGAGCTTCAGCGGAACTTGTAGTTTCTTCGCGATCGCGATGTTTTCCTGAAAAACCAACTTCTGCTTCTCAATCGTGCTCCTCACGTACTCTTGGTCTGGTAGCTGCTCGTATCCCGCGAAATCCAACCCGGTCTCGCCCCAGGCAACGACAGACTTTTCTCCATTCTCCCGTCTGCACTTTTCCACCGCGTCCATCATCATGGCCGCCATGTTCTCGTCCCAGTCGTACAGTGCGTTCTTCGGATGCGTTCCGAAGCTGGCCAGCACGTGCCCTTGGCCGTTCTTTACCAACCGCAGGCAGTTGTCGATCTGGTCCAGCTTCGTACAGCAGGTAATAACGGAGAAGCTCGGCGTGGTTTTTAGGGGGAGAGCTGCAACAGCCTCCGCGATTTCCTCGTCCGGATAGTAGAACTGCTTGTCCATGATGTATTCTAAATGCGTGTTGGTGTCGAAGATGGGGAATAGCCGCAATTCCTCAAAAACCGTGCAGCCGCTGCAATACCACTGATTCTGCCGGTACCAGAACCCGGTTTTTGCGCACTTCCTTTTTTGTCGGCAGTCCGTGCAGAAAATCTCCAGCGACCGGTCCTCGCGGTCCTGCCTGACCGTGATAATTGCCCCGCGGAATTCCTGTTCGTCGCACTTGTCAATGCACTGCTGCGCTTCCTCCACCGTGTCAAATTCCACCGTCGCCCAGCTCTTCATCATGCCCCAAATAATGTTGACGTTTTGGGGGTAAATCCCGGTTTTCTCGGTGATGAAGTTCCGCAGTTGCCACCAGGCGGCATCTATGTCGCGGATGTTCAGGATGGTCAGCCTCGGGGTCGAGGCGCGCCGCATGGAGACAGGCGGCGTAGAGCGGGAAATAAAGAATGACATTTTTGTCCCGGAGGTCAGGTGCTTCTTTCGGTGTTGTACGAGGAGAGTGAGAGCAATTTGGTAGTGCGTGTGGTGGTCACAAAAAATCAAAGGACAACTACATCGGCTGTCTGATTATACTTGCTCGTTGATGAAACATATAGTCGCTGTATTGTTGTATTTCTACTCGTCCTACTGCAGAAAGGAAATACTGTGTCGCGTCTGTGAAAGCAAACAAAATGATTGCAGCATGATGAGGACGAAGATGAAGAACGCATTTTTGCCAACACAAAAATACCAATACGGGATGAACGGGTATCTTTTTCTTTTCAAGATCGACGGCACTTTGACGACCTTCATTCAGAGCAGCAAAAGACTGAGCTTCATCTTTGTCTGTGTGGGGCTGCTACTTCTTCGCTGGAATAGTGGCCCATACCCTCGTCTTCGAGAAAGAACGAGAACAACATAGTCCATTTGCCAGCAGCTACCTCGCTGAGTTGTTTCATCTAGAATTATGGGTTCGATCTAAACTTGATTTCCGCAGCGCACTGTCTTTAATTTTGAATGTCGAAACGGCGGCTAGCAGATAGATTCTTCGTGATCTCAAAAGTTTCCATCATCATGAAGTAACTCAGTTTCAAATCAAATCCTTCCCTAGCTCGCTGCACTTGGACTTGACCGGCCTAGAGTCATCATGCTGACAGTGCCACCTTCTTCGGAAGAAGAAATTACACCTCCCCACACAACATCTTCCACCTCATGGTGATCTCTCCCCGAATCATGAATCAACAACGCCAATAAAACATCCTACAGCCTTTCTCTCGGCTTTGAGTTAAGAAAGTGCAACGGGCAACGCAGTTATTGTCGTCATTGACTTTTGTACAAGTTCATTTGCAACTAAAGTTTTCATGTCTTAGTCTTTGTCTTGTTCAGGTGTTCGACCGAAGCCATTTTGTGACAGTGCTGCGATTTGGGGTCTTTGAGTATTCTATTCTGTCTTTTGGAGAACGTTCGGGCTTGCGGTGACTAATCGATCTGCAAAGTCGTGCAAAGTGCCGTTCTTGTTCATTTGCTTTACGCAAAGCGAGAAGCCCCGCAATGAAGCTCATCTCTTTTGTAGTTGTTTTATCACAGCAGCAATTGGTGTTGTGCTATTCAGTGACCGGAGCAGATGGGACGATCCTTGTGTAATTTATTACGTCTGCAGCAGGCTGCCCGCGTAAAGCATCAGACGATCGAAAAGTGGAGAACAACATCGACCAAAAAAGAAAGGAATAGGAGCCAGAAACTTATACACGAAAACGACGTGAATGGAAATACTTAGATCCACAGGTTAGAAAAAGTCGGGCTCTGGTTTTTCGCCTTCCGCCATCGCTTCTTCGGAGAACGACCCGTCTTCATCGGGATGTCTTTGCGGGATCCCATTTGGGTTTCTTTGATGCCACTCTGTTATTGGATTTCGATCCAATTGCTTCAACACGATCACTGGAAACGCGACCGATGGCGTTCTTTGTCAACCATGTATCACATGAACCTTTAGTGGCATGGTACGGATGCAGGTGGAACAAGAAATATCCGTAAAAATGAATTTAGAAGACGATATTACCAATGATGCTTCCGGGCAGGTCCGGTACTGAAAGCCTGTCGATGTTGATCATCTCATCGTCCACGCTCACGTCATGGAAGTCGCTCCTGTTCCTTCCTCCCGCGCTCCGGGTCACTACTTCGATTGCAACTTGTGACTCAAATTCTTCTTGATCAAACTCGGACGCCGAATCGCTTGTGTCCGATTCTGCCACGGAATCAGAATCCGATGAAAACTGACCTCCTGTTTTCTTCTTCTTTCGCTTCGGATGTTGGTGGTTCGTCTTGTTCTTACCTGTTCTGACCACGACGAATACGTTCTGCTTAACCGCCATGATGCGTTTGTATTCTCTCTTACCGCTATCGTGACTGCGCAGGTCGTTGGAGATGCGGTAGAGCGGAGAAGACATGCACGCGACACCGAGACACATCCGTGATGAGCAGACGCCGTGGCCCCGCTGCCGGTGAAAGATCGACTTTGCTTGTCTTTCGACCCCCTTGGTTTCCTTCCACCCTATGTACGACCTGCAAAAGGAACAATAACCAATCGTCGCAAACTTGGGCTTGTTAAACGCGAGGATTAGTGGGAGCTCGTCCGGAATGAAAATTCGTGCACGGTTTCCAGCAAGGTTGGTGCTGATGAGATTACCAACCTCGATAATGCCTTCGGCGCGACGAACCGCGTGGATGTACAGTAGCCAGAATTCTCGTGTATGCACTGCGGGTGCCGAGCTGCACTGTGCAAACGCCGCGAAGCCGACAGTAGGTGCGCCGATCGGGTTATACTGGGGTGCCGTGTTGCAGTCGCGTGTCGGTCGCCGCACGGGTTCTTTGGGCAGGGGAACGATTCTTGGAGAAGCCGGTGGTGGTGCAGCCTCAAGAAGATGCTCCTCGGAAAAGACATTGGCGCGCTCCTCTACTGCCGCCCATGGCGAACACGGGTTTCCGCCGGTCTCGTCGTCGGGGGACGGCCCGCCGGATAGTGGAGCGAGTGGCCTTTTGACGCCTCCGGTTGCGTTCAGTTCGAAGGGCTGTTTGCGGTCGTCGACCTCGTTCTCCCTTCGCAGATTCTCATTCTTTCTTGTCTTCGCCGATTGCGTCCGCGGCGGCGGCGCAAGTGCGAACACAGGAGCAGAGGAGCTGCTGCTGCTTCCGCTCCGGGCTTTCGGTAGGGCACTCGACTTCTGCACCTTTTTTGGTGGTCGATCGTAGCCATCCTCCGTGCCCTTCTGCTTGCTCCTGCTACTGCCGTCCCCTAGCGCGGCTGCGGACTGTTCCAAATCCTGGTTCTTAGAAGATCGCGAGTCCGAGCCTTTCACCACGGCTACAGCTGGCGAATTAATCGCCTTGTTCTGGTCAATTATTTGAGCACCCGAATCTGGCACAAGGCCAACTGCGTCGAAGTCTTCGTTTTGCGAGCAAGCGGGTGGCGCAGGTGCGTCTTCGGGAATGTCGTATTTCAAGTCGCAGAGGGGCTTAAAGTTTTTCAGCTTTTTCATCGCGCACTCCGCCAAGTCCACGTTCCTGCGGAAACTCAAAAGATCCGCTTCTTCCTTCATCTTCAGGTTAGGGTCGGTTCCTACTTCGACGTCTCCAGGTGCTCTGCCTTGCAGAAACCACGTTTCTGTCACATCGCAAATTGCGGAATCTACTGCGACATGAATGCGTTCGATAAGCCACCTGGCTTGGTTGATTTCGTCCGAAAGAATCTCATCGGCTTCGGTGACTAGCTGCAACTCCTTGACCCGGGAGAAGTTTGCAACGTTGTGCCTCCTCTTGTCTTGCCGGTTCAGTCCTCGCTGTGCTGGTGCACTGTTCTTGTCTTTTTCTTTGCGTTTTGCTTTTTTGTGCCCGGCATCTTCGGTGATCGGAGCAGAGTGTCCACTAGCCGCGTCCGGCTTCCCTGTACAGCTCTCCTGGTATATGATTCGAGATTTGCCTTCATCGCCCGCAGAAAAAGGAAGCAGCAGATCTTGTCCGGACTCTCTGCGATCAGGCTCGTGACCGCCACCAGCGTGTACTGGTATATTGTCATTTGTGTTTCCGACACTGGCAGCGACGATGCTAATCTTTTTCTGGGCGAGTAAAGAACAACTTCCGTCTTTGTTCCCGACATCCGAGTTCAAAAAGGTTTTTCCGCCCGCGCTGGTTCCGCTATCCACGAACTTGCTGTTTGTGCAATCAGCATCGCAAGGGTTTGCCTTGGACGAGAATGAAGCTGATGAGCAAGAGGCAGGCAGAGCGCTTCTTTCGACATTAGATATGCTGGAGTGCACGGGGAAGCGATCGGCTTCTTGCATAGCAGCAGCTATCCTTTTGCTCGAGCTCGTGACACCTCCACCAGATGGCAGGGAAAAGTTTACGGCTTCGAAATTCGGTGGAACAATCGCATTTTCATTTCCGCTAGTTGAACAAGAAATGGTCATTGTCGGTGGCTGCTCGCTGTCCTGTGGTAGTTGGGGGACGTGGTGTGGGTTTGCTTCGGCTATGCTTTTCGGAGCGCTGGCGCTCATGCATTTCCCACTTGCTACAGCTGTTCCCGTTCCGGCTAGTTTGCTACTCGTTGCCAGTCCCCTGCGATGGGAGTGTTTTCGTGAACGGGAAGAAGCTCGGCTTTTGTCGTGTGCTGCAGTGTCGATTTCCATTTCCGCGCCGCTTCCGTTGACCGCTTCGCTTTTCTGTTTCGCCGCAGCAGCGGCGGATGTCTTCTCAGCTGTTTCTTCGGCCCTACCAAGAAGGAGCGGCGACAGTATCTTCAGGTTTCGGGCTTCCCGCGAGGATGGGACGAATGGCTGGTCAATGAGCACCTGCACTATGTTCTTTATTCGTTTCCGATAAAGTAGGGCGCACAAAGACGATAAAGAATCAGATGCAGCTGCAAGATCGCTCGATCGACAGAGTTTTCATACAGCATGCTCATCCACTTCTAAAAACAGGAACGGCCCGGTGCGCGTAACACGGTATACCTTCGAGGTACTTGTTCTTGCCTCTAGCAGAAGCGCCGGTGCTGCTTGTTTCTGTCAGAACCATGAGAAACCCGTGCGAGGCTGCCTTGCCCTGTTCGAGTAGGCCTCCCTGGTACGGAAACCGCCTCTCGCGGCCTCTTGTCCAACGGTGCCTCGTGCTGTGCTGAAGCTCCTTTAGGGGCGAAGCGCCTGATTTAAAGGCACGTCCATGGCGTACTTCTACTTCAAAGTCTGCTCTTATGCGTTTTTTCTCATGCTGCGAAACACGTGAAGCAGAAGCAGTCGCATTTTTCAGAGAGCAGCAAAGACAGAAACAGAATTCACATCTTGCGCTGACATGCGGAAACAGAAAGAAGCAGCTACGGAGGAACCTGCTCATGTATGTAAAAAATACCGTTCCCGCTTCTTCCGTCTTGTTTGAAGTGGAAAGGACTGAGATGTGGCAGGGCAGCTAGCTGCGACCTCTAATTCGTACCACGTTCGATGGATCAGCTGGCAGTGATGAAGATGCCGGAAAATTTATTCGACTGATTCCGCTAAGGATAGCTGCGTCGCTCGGCTACAACGACGAGTACGAAAGTCAGTGCTGGAGCCGGAGCGTCTGCGGGCAGGGTTGTCTCATCTTCATATCGCAAAAATTGGAGTGACAGCCACAAATCTGATGATGCGCTTCCGGAAGTAGATATTCAAATCGAGTTGCGCAAGATGGGGGATCAAAGCGCTTCGACGCACAAGGTGTTGTCATTCGCTACTTTTTTTCATTCTTCGTTTGGCATAAGTGTGGAGCCCTGCTATTGGAACCACCAATATGCCACGTCGGTAGTAGCATCGGCAGGACTGGCATTTCTTTGACAATCCTTCTTCTTGCGTCGACTCGTCGTCATCGTATGGCAGTTTCGAGGTCGTCAGCACTCATCGAAGTTTACACATCGAGGTCACCCTCACGTGTCGCTGTCGACGAAAACATCTCGAGCGAGTAAATCGAACAAAAAGTAAATAGTATAGACGATCTCAGTCTCGTGTGCTGCTACTCTCGAAAAACAGGCCCCGGATTTTTTTTCGCGTACTCATTCATTTTTGAAATCGGAATGTTGCTACGTGGCTGCTAAGATCATTTCATGATTTGCCTCACAGCTAGTAAGTAGCTACATTTTATCTATCTTCTCACCTGCCGCCTTTGAACGGCAGCAGCGGACCCAGGCTGGTGCTGCATGTGCAGCGGCATATGAAAATTAATATATGTCGGCGAGCTTCTGCTCCGGCAGAAAGACGGACTAGTCGTCTCGGAGTTTCACCGCCTTCGGGTAAGGCGGCCCGGCCCCGCCGTTCTTTTGGCTTCGAATTTCATTCGCCTTCATATTCGGCCAAAAACTTCTTCGGCAAAAGTTCCCGTGCCTATGTTTTTCTCTCGCAAGCCAAAACCGAGGCGAAACGGCCCGGCCACTAAGAGAGCCGTCGCCCCCCGTCTCGTTCGGGTCCCGGGGATCTAGCTCCGGGACCGTTGGCCTGCGCCGGCGGCAAAGAGACGGATTCCTCGCCCCGAAGCCTCCGGCCCTACCAGCTGGCCCGCCCCAGCTGGGTGGTGGCCTGGTCGTCGTGGCGTTCAGCTCTTGGGCAGTACGTCCCGGCCCCGCCGTTTTGCTTTTGGCATTGAATTTTAGCAGCCCGCGGGTTTGGCCAAAAAAAATTTTTCCGCCGAAGCTCCCGCGCCTTCGTTTTTGCAGCAAAAATCTGCCGACCCATCCACGAAAGAACCCGTCGCCCCACCACTTCGTTGGGCTCCTCGGGTTCCTTGGCTGCATGCCAGGGCTGCAGCTGCGCCGGCAGGACGAGGGACTGATCCTCCCAAAGTTCCCCTTCCCGGCTGGTTCCCGCCCTCGGCGTTTCGGGGTTCAATTTCGGCGGTCCGCTGATTTGGCCAAAAAAAATATTTGGCCAAAGTTGCCGTGCCTTCCTTTTTGCAGCAGAAATCCGCCGGCCCATCCACCGAGAAGCCCGCCACCCGACCACTTCGTTGGGCCCCTCGGGTTCCTTGGTTGCCCGCCAGGGCGGGAGCCGCGCCGGCACGCCGAGGGACTCATCCCAAACCTCCTTCTGGCGGGTCGCAGCCCTCGGCGTTTTGGGTTTGCATTTCGGCTGTCCGCTGATTTGGCCAAAAAAAATTTTTGGCCAAAGTTTCCCCGCCTTCGTTTTTGCAGCAAAAACCCGCTGGGCCCGGCAGCATGGAGCCCGTCGCCCGTTGTTTACTTCGTTGGGCCCCCGGGTTCCTTGGCTGCCTGCCCAGGCGGCAGCTGCGCCGGCAGGCCGAGGGAGTGATCTTCCCAAAGCCCCCTCCCTCCCCCGCGGGTCCCGGACCCCGGCGCTTTGGCTTTGGGTTCGAATTTCGGCGGCCCGCTGATTTGGCCAAAAAAATTTTTTGGCCAAAGTTTCCGCGCCGTCGTTTTTGCAGCAAAAATCCGCCGGCCCACCCATCAGGGGGCCGGTCGCCCGAGCACTTCGCTGGGCCCCTCAGGTTCCTTGGCTGCCCGGCCTGGGCGGGAACTGCGCCGGCAAGCCGGGGGACTTGCGTTCCCAAAGTTCTCCCTCCTGGCTGGTCTCGTCCCTTGGCGTTTCGGGTTTGAATTTCGGCTGGCCGAAGATTTGGCCAAAAAAAATTTTTGGCCAAAGTTTCCGCGCCTCCGTTTTTAAAGCAAAAGTCCGGCGACCCAGGGCTCCTCGTGTTCCTTGGTTGCCTGCTGCCAGGCAGAGCGGCAGCTGCGCCGGTAAGCCGACGGACTGATCTTCCCAACGCTCCTCCTCCGGGCTGGTCCCTGCCCCGGCGTTTTTGGTTTGAATTTCGGGCGTCCGCTGATTTGGCCAAAAATAATTTTTGGCCAAACTTCCCGCGCCACCGTTTTTGCAGCAAAAATCCGCCGGCCCCATCCACAAGTGTGCCGTGCGGCACAGGTTTCTCTGCTTCCCGAGAACCCCAGTTCTGCCGCCTGGAGCTCATACCATGCGGCTTCGGGATGCTGGTGCTCTCCGCTTCCCGAGAACCCCAGATCTGCCGCTTCGAGCTCGTGCAATGCGGTTTCGGGCTTCTGGTGTTCTCTGCTTCCCGAGAACCCCAGTTCTGCCGCTTGGAGCTCATACCATGCGGCTTCGGGATGCTGGTCTCGTTTTCCCGGTGTTCCGACTGACAGCAAAGCAGAAGGAACAGGACGCACCTCGGTAGGCTGGCCTACCGTC